GTATTGTTTAAAAAATAATAATAAAAGAATGAGGTAGCACTATGGTTTTTTTTCTCCAGAAAACCTCTCCAAAGTATATTGCTAAGCTGACAAAAGCAACACATTAAGAAAGTGTGCATTTGTGCTAAGTTTGTCTCCAAAATACTTGTTAGTGTGAGTACAAGCTCTCTCTGGGGGCAAAAGCATACAAGAAACTGCTAATATCAGAGCCTCGAGGGTGACTGGAGACAGAGGTTTAATTTTTATCATCTACCCTCCTATACCTTTTAAATTTTATTGCAAGAACATACAATACCTACTAATAATGATGACAGCGATCATAATAATGATGACAATGATGATGAGATGATGATGACAAAGAGAATCACAGGCATTGAGGTTGAAGTTCCAGCTTCACCATTCAAAAGACACATGGCCTTTGGTAAATTGTTTAACTTTTTAAACCTCCCCTCAAATAAAAGAAAAAATAGAGAGAAAATAACACAATAACCGAGGGAAGACTGGAAATGGATACTGAATACACACGCATTGCTGGGCGGTGCTGAACATATACGTGTAAAGTGCGTGTTGTGCTGACTGGCATGGGGGAACCCTCAAGGAATGCAGCTCATGCTGCTGCTGCTGCAGCTGCTGCTATTCTTAGACATCTGTCCTGCCTCCCCGCTCTGAATACCTAGGACTTCAACTTGGGACAATTGCTCTGTACATACTGAAGTGAACATTAGCTTTCCCGAGACCCCAAGGAAAGCTCAGGAGGAGGCCGACATCCGCTGTGTGCTCCTCCCCACCTCCCACTGGCCGTGTCCTAGTTTATGCCTCTAATTGGGATGGGGGATGTGCTCCCAGGAGCTCCCAGTGATGCTGAGGGCCTGCACCCTGTGCACACTTGACATTCCGAACTTTAAATTGCTTCTGGGATTAGCAGGGTCCCTTTTGATGTCCACGGCTGCCGTGGACTCCTCTCACTGCTGGGGAAATGCACCCTTGGGATTTCTTGCGATTTCTGACGGGTCCTCTACATGAACAGTCTGTAGCTGAGATGCCCAGAACTCAGCTGGCACAACAAGGAGGAAGAGTGTGAAAGGAAAGCCCACCAGAGGCTGTTTCTACAAGGATTTAGGAGGATAAAGAAGAAACAGAGTCTCAGAGGTAAAGAAAGTCAGGCAGGGGAATGTCTGGGGACTGTCTCTGGCATCCAGGGTGTGGCCTTGGGTGCAGTGAGCAGTTCAGAATCGTGTCTGGGATCAGGATCTCAGAGAAGTGGCCACAGCAGGATGCAGGTGGGGAGAACGGGGTTGTGGTGGGGACAAAGGCAGTGGTCACACCTTCTGCAGAGCATTTCCCAAAGGTGGACTTTCCCCCTCGCCCTGCCTCTGCTCCAAGAAACCTTCCTGCAGCAGATGCTGGAGGAAGGAGGTGTGGCTGAGAGGAAGTGCGAGGCGGTTGGTCCTTCCCGCTCTCCAGGGCTCACCATTGACCAAGCCCCTGCCCTGACCTTGCTGGTCACACGGAGTCCGGAGTCCGGGAGGGAGGTCGGCAGGCAGGATCCCCACCCCATTCTGCAGAGGTTTCTCCGAAGAATGGGCCTGCCCCAGGGTCAGAGGGTGAGCAGACAGGCCAGCCAGGACCCACACGCCGCCTGTCTGATTCCTGGTCTGTGGCTGGTTCTTTCCGTTCTTCTCACTTTCGTTCTGTAAACACTGTTTTTTTTTTTTCCTCCTGAATACAAGGACACTTGTGCCTATTGTACTAAAAAATATTGGCAATCCTGAAGAGGTACAGAGAAGGATCCCTCCCATCTTGATTTTGCTACAATTTCTTTCCAGTCACTTTCATCCACATATACCATTTACCTCACTGAGATCGAAACTGTATACAATTTTGTATGCTCCCTTTAAAATTTTTCACTATAGTATAATAATACCATAGTGTAAAGATTATAAAGTCACTTGAATGTCTACCTAATATTCCATTATGTGAAACGGCATTATTTACTTAGGCACTTATTGGTAGACTGGTATTCTGTTTCCTATTTTCACCCACGAATATTGCTGCGACTTCACTCCGTATTGAGAGATGTTGGCCGTCCACTCTCACCGATTCCTTAGAATTCTTCCCAGAGGTGGAACTGATGTGGTGATGGGTTTTTTGCATTGTTCCTTTTCCTGGCAAACTGCTCTCCAGAAAGGGTGTTGTTAGAGTGCACGGGGCTCTTCACCACACCGTGTTCCCTTCTGCCTCCAGCTGCCTACAGGCTGCAGGAGGTGGGATGGAGACCACGAGTAACGAGTAACGCCCTGTCCTCAGGATGAGCCCAGGTGCCAAGTCCACAGGATGCAGCTACAAAGGTAAAAGCTTCACTTCCTGTCCTTGCTTTCCCTGCCTGCCTCCTGACCCACTCCCTCCCTTCCCTTCCCTCCTCTCCCTCTTCTCATGTTGTTGGTATAAGAGCTCTCTGTTTTCTTCCATCTTGAATCCCCTCCAAAGGCTGACATGCCCTAGGTTTCCTGTCGACCATCCCTTCATATGAAACAAAAAATTCAGATCTCCCCAACACACACACGCGCGCACACGCACACACACACACACACACGAGTGTGCAGCCACTTTCACCAAGGACTGCTCCCTGCCTGCTGGGCACAGCACCAGCCACTTTATGGCAGAGATTGAAAGCCTGCAAAGCACCTGATTCAGCCTCCTTGTGATGCACTTGGGGCAAATGAGGCCCAGGGAGGAGAAAGGACTTGCCCCAGCTACACAGAATAGCCATGGTACACAGGGGCAGGTCCCACAGCCCTGGTCTCACGGTGCAAGGTCTTCCCAGCTATCCCGTTCACTCCATTTGAACCAGCTTTTACCCAGCAACTTCCACATCACAGACACTAAGACGTCCGTGGATACTGCTCTCATGCGGGTCCAGTCCTGTGCATCACTCGTGCCCACCCCACACTCTCATGGGCAGTAGCCTCTGTGTGATGAAGCTGTTTGATGGGAGCGGACCGGGCGGCTTCTCTAACAGAACCCTCTTTCCTTGGCCTCTCTGACACAACATGTCCTTGTCACTGTTGCAGCTTGCTTGTGACACTGACTGTAATGTTTCCTTTTCATTGTCCAGAGGAGCTGGGAGAGCCGCCGGGAGGAATGTGAGATGAGCTGGGGCAGTTTCACGGTGGAGCGCCCAGAGTGGGCCTGCACTGAGCAAACAGGCCCACCCTGATGTGCTGCATTGAGGGATGGGGCGGGAGGGTAATAGGCTTGCTCAGGAAATGCAAGGAAACGCATGATGTCATAATGGGGAAACGTCTCCTGGGTTAGATCAGTGGTTCTCTCCTGGGCACACTTTTGCACTCCCCTCTCCTCCTGGAAACCTTTGGCAATGTCCGGAGACAGTTTTGGTTGTTATAACTCAGGGAGCAGGTACTACTGGCAACGGGTGGTCAGAGGCCAAGGGTGGTAAACTTGCTAAACACCCTGCAATGCACAGGACAGTTCCCCATGATCAGGAATTCTGCAGCCAAAAATGTCAATAGTGTTGAGGCTGAGAAACCTTGGGTTCAGTTCAAGGCGGGAGCTGCACTGCCTGACAGCACATGTGACATCCACTCTCCACCATGAGTAAAGCAACAGTGTGCTGGACAAACCATGAGACAGATCGGAGAACATGTAGAGCTGGTATTGAAGAGAGAAAGCCTTTCAAAAATCTGAATGCCAAGAGAGTGAGGCAGCTGTTTGATAGAAATAACTCAGAATTGGGGCTTGCAATCCAATGCCAGCTCTGTCATTCAATCCCACAGAGCAAAATCTTTAGCTCCTCTGAGCTTTGGTTACTTCATTTATAAAACTTGAATGACAGTATCTTTGCTGTGGGATGTTGCAAAGAATATGGCACGAAGTAGATGCTCATTAATATTAACCACTCATCTTCCATCACCCACCCACTCACCCTCTTTCTCTCTCTCTCTCTCTCTCTCTCTCACACACACACACACACACACACACACACCACTGAAATTCAGAAGGAGCTATAGAAATATTATCAATGAGGATTCTGAATTCAGGAACTGGGCAATTCAGGTAAGAGACAAGCAATCCTCTATACAAAGGCATCCAAGTCTTCCTAAATGCCATCTGTGTGGAGCAAAGAACGGGGTCAGAGAGCCAGAATACCACACAAGAATCCAATATAAACATAAAAAGACAAAGAAAAATTCCTTTGTGAGATGGATTATAAGTTAATGCCATATCCCCTAATAACCAATGGATGTGATCAGTGTGGTGATTAATATATAATTGAGGTAACCGGTCGGTAAGGTGCATAGTTGTCATCTTGTGTGGGTTCAATCCCTCCAATTAATCCTCATGCTGACTTCATAAAGCTCTCCCCCCCTCCCCCCCGCACTGCTATCGGCCACGTCTAAACGTCTAAACGGGGCAGACCCCGGTGCTGAGAACAGTCACATCTGTGTCGCTGCTGGCAGGCCCACTTGAGAAGTAATCCTCCTTATGGCTGAGCCTTTAGTTAGGCTTGTTTCTGCCTGGATGTGGATTAACACTTTTACACAAGTTTCTTCCAAATGCAATTAAAGTTTAAAGAGGCTTGAAAGTTTGCTAGTTCTAACAATTGGCTCAGCTTGGGAATTTACCCCTTTGAGGAGCTCAGAAAGCTCAGATTAAATGACATTTCAGTACATTTACATTAAAAAGAAATAATTCATAGCATTTCCCAGCTGTTAAACATAATGCAGAAGAAAAGCCCTCCTTGAATGGGGATTAGCTCTGCTGGGTTCAAGTCCTACCTCTGTAAGCTCTGTCCCAGCTCTGAACCTCTCAGCTCTGAGCCAATGATGCCCCTACCTCCTCTTTCACTTATTTTTCCTCTTACACACATATGGTCTCCTGTCGTGCAGCAGGGACGTCACCACACACCAGATGCCTGGGACTCCTCTCTGGGAAGCCTGATGTACTGCTTTGTACTTTGCTGATGACAGAGGGGATATCACATGGAAAAATCCAATCAGACATCCCCCATGGTAGGATTCATTCTCCTGGGCCTCTCCGCCTACCCAACGCTGGAGAAAATATTTTTTGTGCTCATCCTGCTGATGTACCTGGTGGTCCTGCTGGGCAATGGGGTCCTCATCCTGGTGACCCTTCTTGACTCCCATCTGCACACGCCCATGTACTTCTTCCTGGGGAACCTCTCCTTCCTGGACATCTGCTACACCACCTCCTCAGTCCCTCTGGCCCTGGATGGCTTCTTGACACCCCAGGAAACCATCTCCTTCTCAGGCTGTGCTGTGCAGGTGTTCCTCTCCTATGCCATGGCAGGGACAGAGTGTGTGCTCCTGAGCATGATGGCATTTGATCGCTACGTGGCCATCTGCAACCCCCTGAGGTACCCCGTGGTCATGAGCAAGCCTGTCTACGTGCCCATGGCTGCCGGCTCCTGGGCTATTGGTGGTGCTAATTCTGTGATGCACACAACCTTGTTAACTCGGCTGCCCTTCTGTGAAGACAGCATCATCAACCACTTCACCTGTGAGATCCTGGCTGTCCTGAAGTTGGCCTGTGCTGACATCTCCATCAATGTGATCAGCATAGAGGTGACAAATGTGATCTTCCTGGGGGCCCCAGTTCTGTTCATCTCTTTCTCCTATGTGTTCATCATTACTACCATCCTGAGGATCCCCTCGGCCGAGGGAAGGAAAAAGGCCTTCTCCACCTGCTCTGCCCACCTCACGGTCGTGGTCATCTTCTACGGGACCTTATTTTTCATGTATGGGAAACCGAAATCCAAGGACCCACTGGGAGCAGACAAACAGGACCTTTCAGACAAGTTTATTTCCCTCTTCTATGGGGTGGTGACCCCCATGCTCAACCCCATCATCTACAGCCTGAGGAACAAGGACGTGAAGGCTGCTGTGAGGAACCTCGTAGCTCGGAAAGCAGTCAGCCAGTGATGTAGGACGGGTCCTCTGTTGCTCTCACCCCTGTGAAGTAAGGACTCCTCTCATTCTAGCTGCCATATAAAGCCAAGTCAGGTTAACTGGAATAGTTTCTTGCTGCTAAGTTCATTTTCAGGGAATGCTTAACTTTTCAGAGTGTATATCCTGAATTTTGGCCATTTGTCTGACTGCTTCAACAGATGCCAGACAATAACACCCTAATCAAATGTATGCAGTCATTCCAAGTACATGCTAAAGCCAGGGAGACAGGAACCATGCGAGCAAGAAGAAGGGTCCTCACGGCATCTAAGTTTGCAGAGTCAGTGCAGGAGAGTGAGCTGACCCCAGGCAACACTGCCACCCCGGTTGCATTCGCCAGGGGAGTCAGAGGAATACAAAGGAAGTGAAAACTTTTACTTGGGCTTTTATTTAATTTAGTTTGCCCAAAGTGTTAAGAAGAGACAAATACAATCTCCACACAGAGAACGTTTGGTGGTGGGAATAATCTGTTTTGATAAGCTGAATTTCTTTTTAGCTATAAAAAAATTCGAAGTTATTTTTTTCTTGATGCATTGTACATTATGAAACACTGCTGGTAAATTAAATTTAAGGAGTATAGTTTGAAATTGATATTACCACTTATAGGAATTGCCAGTAGAAAAGCTAGTATTCTGTTAGCTACTAACTTACATTCTGAAAAAAAAAAAGAATAAGATGATAAAGATGATAGATGAAAGGGAGGGAGGGACAGAGGGAAGGGAGAAAAGAGAAAGAAAGAGGAAGGAAGGAAGGAAGGAAGGAAAGGAGGGAGGGAGGAGAAAGGGAAAGAAAAAAGGAAAGGAAAGGAAAGGAAAGGAAAGGAAAGGAAAGGAAAGGAAAGGAAAGGAAAGGAAAGGAAAGGAAAGGAGAAAGATACATAGTGGCTAAATCTGTTTGAAGACTTTGAGAGCTAAAGTTTGACAGGTTCCTTTGCTTCAGGAATTCTTGGAGCCTTTAACACGCTAAACTACAGAGTGAATGTCCAAGACACATAAAGTCTGTAGCACCTCCTGAGTCTCCATATTTCAGCACAATAAAAATTGGGGAGCATTCTCTTACCTATTTGCCACCTATGACTTGGGAAGGTTGCTTAGCCTTTCTCAGCCTATTTATTCATATTTTGAAACCTAACCACTTTATTTCACACGAATGAGGTAAAACATAAACAAATACTGTGTAAGTGATAAGCACAACAGAAATGTAAGGTATTAATTAGTAGTAGTATACGAATGTTATCAGTGTTTTGTGCCGTGTAAAAAAGAGCAAGACATAGTTCCTGTCTAAAACAATGGGCATGAAATACAGATGAATGGTTCAGAGATGGCAGTGGATAAAAGTGGTTTTATGGCAAGTTATATTAAGTTCTGAGACTATGGGAAAACATTTAAAAAGAGAATTTAGAAAGTCCAGTTTTGAGAATAGATCTTGGAAATGTTTGCTTCAAGTGTTATCTAAGTTTTATTATATTTATTAAAAGTGAGCTGCATAAAATAAGGATGCACATTTTGTTAATAAAATTTCACTTTATGTTAGTCATACTTTGCACCAGTAAAAAACAATGTTACTAGTGCAAATATACAGGAGTGACACCTAGCGGCCATTCAAGCAAACTTCAGACACTTGTAGAGCCATGCAATGCCAGTGTTAGAAAAGGCTTCAGATTTCTTGCTCAACACTATCTGTAGGATGCATGGAGTTCCTCTCCAATATCCCTGATCCCAGTTATCCAGCATCTGCTTGAACACCTACAGTGACAAAGAATTCAGTACTTCCAGATTCTAGCTGGTTTATTTAGCCACACTAGCACATTCTTCCTTGAGTGATGTTAACATATGTACTCCATTAGCTTCTACCTTTCAGTTACAATTGAGCTTTGTGCCTCTACATGAAATGCACCTAATCTCTCTCTCTATGGAATATGAAGTTAGTTCTTCTGGTCCCCTGAGTCCGTTCCCTTCCAGCCTAAAGAGCCCCAGTCCTTCCTCCTGTGCTAAAAGCACCCAGCATTACCCAACCGGCAGGCACTGAATGTGTCTAGAGCATCGTCTTGTTTATTCCAGCAATGGAAATAATATGACATCTCTAAAATACCCTGGGAATAATAAGGACACTGCTAACCCCACTCTGTTTCCCCCAAGGTAACTGGGACCAGACTGGGACAGAGAAACACTTTTGAACAAGCCCACCCCCTTTTTCCCCTCTCAGTAATGGCAGCCATGTCTTTTTATATTACAGATCACATGATCCTAATGTCATTGTTAAATTAGAAGTTACATAAATTATTTTCTCTAGGAACAATGGCTACCTCCAATCCCACCCTCCAACTTCACATTTCTGGTCTTTCAAAGCCAGGCCCCTTTCTCCTGGCCTACATTTTTAAAAAGAACAAACAGCAGTAACAGGAACAAGAAGAGACAACAAGGTTAAGGACATATTTCATTGACCAAGGTCATCAGTCTTTCTTAAAAATTATTGCTATGGTACCATAAAATATAGGAACCCATTCCTAAAATCCCCCAAATGAAAATGATCAGAATGAATAAACTTTTGGGTGGGGACAGGAACACTGTCATATTATTACTCTTATTCAAATGCATTATTTCAACTTCACTGTTCTGGGTCAGTTATTTTTCAGGCTTTTTTTTTTCTAGTGACTAACACCCTAATGAAATCTTTATAAAGCCCCAATAAAACTCCAAATATTAAGTGGATCTTTTTTGGTGGAAGCAGGGCAGGGGTGGGGTAGATGGAGGGGGGAGACGGGGAGGGAGTAGGGTTGTACCAGCTCAGACTGCCCTTCATTCCACCCCACAAGAGTTCCCCAGTCCAGAGTCACCACCCAATTCGAATGGGATCCACACCATTTTTGCCAAGAAAACTAGACATTTTTTAAAAGATTTTATTTATTTATTTTTAGAGAGGGGGAGGGAGGGAGAAAAAGAGGGAGAGAAACATCAATGTGTGGTTGCCTCTCACGTGCCCCCTCCTGGGGACCCGGCCCACCGCCCAGGCATGTGCCCTGACTGGGAATTGAACTGGTGACCCTTTAGTTTGCAGGCCCACGCTCAATCCACTGAGCCACACCAGCCAAGGATAGACATTTTTAGTAAGAATATTTTCATTCCATACTCAGAAAAGAGTTTGAGAATTTGGGAAAAAAATATATTCTAAGAAAAAATAAATTACGCAGTTAATCATTAAAGGGCTAGACAACCTAAAAACACCAACCACCTAAGAAGAAATTGAGAAATGGTTGTGCCAGGTCTAGAGAGCTTCACAGATGAATGTTATTAAATATTCAGGGAACAGAAGGTTTTAATACAGTTCAAATAATCACAAAGCGCACAGCGAGAATGATGGCTTCCAAATTCCTTTAACCAAGCCAGCATAGCTCTGATGCCGAATTGTGGAAAACGTGACAAAGAAGGTACAAGGGGGAAACCAGAGACCCACATCGCTTCTGTATTGAATGTGGGCGTGCATCTGTACCTGTGTGATAGAATTCAGCAACACGTTAAAAGAACAATACAGGCTGAGCAAAAGTAGGCTTACCCCTGTGAGTATGCAGAACACAAGGTTTATTCTTGTATTATTATTTATTAATTATTGTATTGTTTTCAATAGGAATAACTGTAAACCTAGTTTCACGCCACTCTGTATACTGTATCCGAGTATATGCACTTCAAATACAGAAAGGGGGAACCATTTAAGGGCATCTACTGGAATAATTCATCAATCCACAGGCCAAAGGAGGAAAAAAGTGGTCGTGATTTCAATAACTTCCCCAAAGTTATTTGAAAAAGTTAAAAATCAATTTTTGAGTTTCATAAAACTTCTAATAAAATAGGAATTACTGGTTTGTTTGTTTTTTTTTAAAGAAATTTGCTGTCAGCCCCAGCTAGGTGGCTTGGGTGGCTGGAGCATCACCCGAGGCAAGGATCGATGTTTCTCTCTCTCACGTTGATGTCTCTCTCTCTCTCCCCCCCCCTCTAAAATCAATAAACGTATCCTCAGACGAGCATTTAAATAAATAAATAAATAAATAAGTAAATAGTGATGTCAGTGTAGCCCCCCCCCCCCGCCAGCATATTGTACTGTGCTCACTTTCTTCTTGTGATTTTGTGAGCTGATGCAACGCGGAGGAGACTAGAGAAAGCGGGGGGGGGGGGGGGGCCGACGCAGGCACTGCGCCGCAGTGCTGGGTTGCTACTAGTGACTTTCTGATGGAAGTTCAGAAGGAGGACCCATCAATCATCTGTTTTTGTTTTGAGAGTGTGTGGGGGTTTTGCCTCGTCCACTACCCCCCGCTATGGCATGTGCCCCGCAGCACCCCCGCACAGTTCCGGAGCCGACCTGTCCCGCCGCGGTGTCTGCCCTGCGGCCCCTGCTGTCCTTCAGCGAGTGCAGCTTCTCCTGAGCGTCTTCCAGAAGAGCCTGGTTTTGTCACAGTTACAGACTTGCTTTGGATCTACCCTGTCTCCTTGGTCAACAACTCCAACTCTGCGGGAAATGTGGCAGCAACTTCATCGGCGGACGCAGCCTCTCCCGTAATTTTTGTATTTTCCAGTCCAAACCTGTTCCTGAATCTGCGCAGCTGTCCCTTCGTCCTTGCGGCGAAGAAGCAATGCTGGCGTCGCGCTTTGGGGGGGGGCTGCGCGGTTCCTCGCTGAGGTCTGCGCCCGGGCCCCGCGCCCTCTGGGACAACACATCATTGTCCATCGGAACACATGTTGTGTTTTCTTTCGCCGTAAGTGGAAAGCCTTTTCCATCTTAACTAAACACATCGCTCACTCTGGCCGTAACGTTTGCAGTGTGAGGTTCCACAGCAAAACCGGCCATAGCCGTTTGGTCCTTCTTCACAATGTCACCCACTGAAGATCTGTTCTCGCCGTAGATCTTAACCACTGCGGCATACTATTTTTCTTTTCTTAAGCTGAAAACTTTCACTTTTTCACGTCAAAGAAGCACTTTGTGGT